CCTCCTGGCCCCTGTGGCTCTGAGGCGGCACTCCCGCCGAGGAGGGCCAGGCCTGCCCCCTTACCTAGCGGGCCGAGCTGCCACGGCGGGGACACGGCCACGCTCGCTCCCACCCAGAGGAGGGCCTCTGCCAGGCAGGCCACTGTTCCCCCGGTCCGGCTGGGGGTAGACGGCCAGGGGACAGACATGCTAGGACGATGGCCAGGGGTGGCTCACAGAGGCCAAAGGACGCCCGCGTCCCCCACCCCGCCTCAGCAGCAGGTCAGGCAATGGCGGGTGGCACAGGGGCTCCACGGGCCCTCCTTCTCTCTTCCTCCTCTTCCTCCTCCTGCTTAGAGCCTTGCGAGGCCCCCGCGGGGCTGCTCCCAGGTCCCTCTGGCATTGGCCCAACCGTCACCTGCCGTCCTAGATGGCCCCCAGGTCAGCCTGCCCATCCACCAGGGCCACGAAGGGATCCCCAAAGAAGCAGCGTCCCAGAGTCTGAGGGCAGGGCAGCCGCAGGGCCTCTGCAAGCCCCGCCCACCCCCTGCCCAATCCCCTGTGCTAATCCAAGCCCGGGTCCAGCCCAGCTGGCCAGAGGATTTAGGCCAAGGGAACTCCCAGCTGGAGACCAGGAGGGCAGCAGGCAGCCCCCACGTCCCGGCTGAGCGACAACAGGCAAGACAGAGAGGCCACTCCAGGACCCAAAGAACACCGCTGTAAGGCCTGGGGTGATGGTCCTCATGGGACCGTCCACTGTCTCCCCACCGCCCTCCCTGCTGCCCCTTCTCTGTCCCAGCCTGAGCCCCAGAATCGCCAGCTCCCAAGCCCACGTCCCTGGTACTTGCCAGGGGCTCTGAGGGGCTCCTGTGGTCCCCGGGGTGGGGGTGAGGGGTGACGGGAGTAGCAGAACCTCACCCTCAGTGTCCAGCCCTCTGTGGGCCGCAACCAGGAGCCGAGCTGGGCGGGCTGCCTGCCCAGGCCTGTCTGGCCCGGGGAGGGCCTGGGACACGGGGGGCCCCTTTCTGCTTCGACTCCTAGCCCTGGAGGGACAGTTGCCGGTCCCCAAGCCTGGGTCCCGTGCTCCCAGACGCCTCATCCTGCTCTGGGCCCCCGGCTGTGCCGCCTCAGCTCCCAAGGACCAGCCCCTGGGGCAGAGAGCTCCGGGAGGCGGCCCACTGCCCTGGGCGCATTCGTCGCCGAGCTCTGCCCCCAGAGGCTGCCCTCCCTTGGTGGGCCCGGCCTGGTGGGGGAGAGCCGGGCCCAGGGAGGACCTGCTTGCACATCTGCTGACCGGACACGAGGCCCACTCACGGCGACACCAGCGAAGGCCCAGATGAGGACAGCCCTTTGGGGCGGGCAGCTCTGGACACGAGGAGGAGAGCTGGGCAAAGATAGACAGACGGTGGCACGCCCCCCTCTCCCAGGGCGCGAGGCCCGAGGGGCAGAACCCCACCTCACGGTCACATCGACCAGCGGCCGCGAGGACTGGCGCCCGGTCCCGAGGACCTTGGAGCCCGTCTGCCGCTGAGCCCCCGAGCCCCTGGTCCCCCGCGTGCCCCCTACCCAGGCATCACTGGGCTGTCACCTTTCCATCCCCAGCACAGAGGCGAGTGGCTGGGGCCTGGGCCACAGAGCTGGGCACAGCCCGGTCCGAGGTCGGAGCGGGGGGGGGGGGGGGGGGGGGGGGGGGGGGGGGGGGGGAGGCGGCAGGCCATGAGGAGCTAGTGATGGGCGTCCCAGGCTGACCACAGGGAACAGGGCCCCACCTGACCAGAGCCAACGCAGTCGACTCAAAGCCAAATGCCAGAACCCAATTAGGAGCCTTTGCCAGAGCGGCTCCGAGTCAGTCCCTTCAGGAGGCGGCGCTATGTGGAATCAGGTTAGGAAGCCACCAGTCTCTAGAAAGAGAAAGGGTCCTGGGTCTCCTCTAGGAGACACGGCTGCGGAGCCCTGACAGCCTCTGCGTGTTCGGGGGGCAGCTGGAGCGGGGCAGAGGGACCAGAGCAGGAGGCCGGGAGGTGGGTCCGAGGCTGGCTCCCCAGGCCGCACCTGCCGGTCCTGTGTCACGGCCCCATTCCATCGGCGGACCCTCCCTGACGCTGGGGCATCCCCTCCTGCCTCAAAGCCTGCGGCTCTTCAAACCCAGGTTACACCTGGTCACACCTGCGCCTCTTTCCTCCCCCACACCTGGCCCCTTTCTGGGGTCTTCTCACCTCCCCCCGGACAAAAGCTCCCTGAGCCGGCCACACCCTGCCATCCTCGGGTCAGGCCCCTGGACTCTCAGCCCAAATCAATGGTCTCCTGCCATCAGCCAGGGGGGCTCTGGTGCCCTAATCTCCCTGGGCAGGGGGCCCAGGAGGGGACCCACACTGAGTGTCCCTGTACCCCTGAGTCCTCCTCAGCCAGCCCAGGGTGGACCTCACTGATCCGGCGGAGGACGGTCCAATCAGTCCAGCCTGATGCGGGGCTCTGCCACCAAAGCCCCTCTGTTGCCCGCGAGACCCTGGTGACCCCCACCTGAGCTCTGACACTCTGACCAGGGTCTGAGGACACCGTGGGGGGGGGGGCTCCTGACTCTGGGGACACCATGTTGCCCCCACAGTGCCGCTGAGCATGCTGGGTACCTGCAAAGGCCATGCCCCAGGCGATTGCCAAGCTGGGCTTGAAACCAGGACAGGCCCTGAACCCCGATGGCTCAGCCCCCCAAAGCAGAGGCAAGTTCCTCCCTTCCCACCCTCCCCCACAGGGGCTGAGCCCCAGGCCTCTAAGGGAGGGGCAGCAGAGCCCAAAAGAACCAAGCACAGAGCAGGGGCACCTACCATTGACCAGGTCCCCAAACGCACGAGCCGGGCCCCTGTGTCCACAGGTGGTCACCAGAGCCAGCCCCCCCCCCTCCTTCAGGGTCACAGAAGGGAACAGGTCCCAGGACCGGAGAAAACCCCCACCCCAGGTGCTGCGTGGGAGCAGACCCAGGCCAACACCGGGAGGGATAGGAGCCCAGCCCACCCCACCCATGGGCTCACTCCCTCCGCACCCAGGACACTCGCCACCACCCCGCCTGGCCTGCGAGCACCAGCCGCCCAGAGCGTCCGGGGAAGACTGACATCCCAGCACCCTGACCCCAGCCAGAGTCCACTCCCTGGTCGGTCCCCACCTCCAGCCCCAACAGTGCCATAGATGTGGCCGCCAGAGCAGCCACATGTCACCAGCCCTGCGGGGGCTCAGTCTCCACACTTGGCCTCCAGAGCCTGGAACCAGTCTACACTTGACCTACCCGGGTCAGCCAGGAGCCTCGCCAGGGGTCCCCCCAGCCACTTCCTCCTCACGCCTGCCCCACACACCTCTCCTGGCTCTCAGTCCTGTGACCTGAGTTGCTCCTCTGAGCATCCTCCCGCCTGCCCTGTGGCTTCCGGACGAGACCGCACACATTCATCTGCACACTGCCTGATCCCCCGGGGCACCGCCGGGCAGGGACCACCCTGTCCTGTCTTGCTCTGTCCCTGTGCCATTCGGGACTGCCCCACAGCAGAAGCACAGGCTGGGCCCCTGGTGCCAAGGCCGCCAAGCCAGCCCCACGAGGTGACATGAGTCAGCGCCCGGCATGGCCGTCACTGGTCAGCTAGTGGCCGTCCAGCCTCCAGGGCTTGGCCACCGCCAGCCAGTGCCGGCACCTCCGGCTGCCGTCCCCGAGGAGGCTGGTGCCTGGACACACCCGGCACAGATGAACGGGTGGCACCCCCTCCCAGGGGGGGCGAGGGCACAGGGAGGGCTCCCCCCACACTGACACCCCAGAGGAAAGGTCCCCATGACCTTCCTCAGCTCGGCCCTGCACCATGGCTGAACCGCTGACTCGGATGGCCTGCCTGTCTCCATGCCTCAGTTTCCCTGTCTGTCAGAGGATGCCCCACAGGCCCTCCCTCCTCGATTCCTCCAGTGGCCACGGGACACGGTGGCAGCTTCCCCAAGGGGGAAACGTCCTCGCCATCAGAAGCTGGCCAGCACTGGCTTTTTCCTTTTTACACTGGAGGCTGAGCCTGCCCTCACACAGGAGGGGGCAAGAGGCCAGGGGCGGTCAGCACCCCCGCCTCTTCCCTGGGAGGACTGGAAAGCGCAACAAAGCCCACAAACGATGCCCAAAGGCTCCCCTGTGCGAGCACGTGCACTCACCGGCACTCTTGAGGTGTCACAGGCCCCCGTCCATGATGGGTGTGCGCACGGGTCAGGCCCTCCCTTGCCCCTTCACTGAGCAAATGAGTGCAGGGGTCAGGGTGTGGGGCGCGTTCCTCCCCCCTCCCTGAGGGCACCAGCCCTGGGTCCCAGGCTGGGCAGCGCCCCCCCCCCCCCCGCCAGCCCCTCTCCCCTCCGACATTTCTCTGCCTTTTCGAAGGATCTTCAAGGGAGCCCTTCCGTGTCCGCTTGACTCAGAACAGACAGCAACGGCCGGACACACGGAGCCCGAGGCTCGACTGGCCTGGAGGCCGGCCTGTCCCTGCCACAGCCCTCACCGGTCCTCAGCACCCCCCCTGTCGCCCCGAGCCGCATCTCTGCTGTCCACCGGGGCCAGTTCCGCACGCAGCGGGCACTCAGGCTGTGCTTGGGTGGAGAAGAAGAGGAAGAGGTCAGCAGGCCCCAGCTGCTGCACCGGGCTCCCGCGCGCACCCACGGGGGATCGGCCCGGCCCCTGGCCAGCGCCTCACAGGAGGGAGGGACAGGCCCACACACATATGGCGGAGATTATTTAAACGTCTGAGAAGCAGCTCGCGCCCCCCTCCCCCTGCCCGTCTGGGCGCCTCCTCCCAACTATTTTTATTTTATCAGGGAGTGCGAGTCGGCTCCCTCAAGCCCCCCTTCCCGCCCCAGGCAGGACTCCAGGGTGACTGTGCCCAGCGCCCAGGGGGCACAGGAGCCAGGACTGGCCCGAGGGTCTGCACGAGGGCAGCAGACCCTGGGGCGGGGGGGG